AGATTTCTGAGAGCTAAAGAGCAGATGAGGTTCCTTGGTGAAGAAATCAAGGCAAAGAAACTTGCAGCCCCTAAAGCTAGAGGTAAGGACAACTTCCATTTAAGGAAGAGGCCTATTGAGGAAATAAACTTACCTACCTCCAGAGGAGATCCATACTAGCTACCTGTTCCGGTTAATACTTTCCTTCACTCATAAATATGAATAGACAAAAAAGAATAATGAAAAACAGCTGCATGAAAATAAAAGAAAATTTAATAAACAAATAGAATGATTTGCTCAATAAGATTCTAAAATTATTCAAGTTACAGCCAAGATCTTTAATTTTGTAAAAAATTCATATTCTTGGAGAGATATGAGGACATTGCATCTATAAAACAAGTACAGGTTGCTATAAAAAGGGAGCAATCCACAAACATAAGAGTTTTTGAAATTGAAAATAACTGTCTCGGGCCGGGGATTTAGCTCAGTGGTTCCACTGCCTGCCTTGCAAGTGCAAGGTCCTCAGTTTGATCCCTGGTACAAAAAAAAGGAAAAAAAAAAAAGGAAATAATTGTCTAACTTTTCAAAAATTCAGTGGAGAGATTGAATAATGGAATGGACTTGCACTGAGCTACATCTCTAGTGCTTCTTTTTATTTATTTTTTTGACAGAGTCTCACTAAGTTGCCCAGGATGGCTTCAACTTTCCATCCTCCTGCCTCGGCTTCCTGAGTAGCTTGGATTACAGGCATGCACCATTATACCCAGGTAATGACTAATCTTTTTTTTTTTTTTTTTTGGTACAGGAGATTGAACTCAGGACCTTGCCCTTGCAAGGCAGGTGTGATGCCACTGTGCTAAATCCCCGGCCCATGACTAATCTTTTAATGTGAAAAAAAGTTAATGAAATTCCCCAAGGCAGAACAAAAGGACATGGAACACATTTAAAAAGACACAGAATATATGAAAGAAAGTTAAGAGGCATGGAGGAGGGGTGCAGAATTTTCAGAAAGACACAATGGAGAAGACTAGAGGAGAAAAATAATAATTGAAGAAGCATCACATTGTATAGCATAAATATATACAATTAGTATTTGTCAATTAAAAAAGCAGAAGCAGGAAGTATTTCCTGAGCTGAAGAAGAAAAAGAAGAAGGAGGAGCAGGAGGAGGGGAGAAGGAGAAGAAGAAGAGGAAGAGGAAGAGGAAGAAGAGGAGGAGGAGGAGGAATATTTAGATTGAGAGGGCCCACCAACTCCCAAGCTGGAGAAATGAACACACACATGAAAAAACGGGGAGGAGGGCAGAGAAGTGGGTGGATTTGGCTTGAAAATGCCTTTGGGATAGCAGGAGAGAAATTCTGCCTGGCCTTTGAATGTATGAAATTGAAGCCCTGGGTAACGGTCAGGGCTGGAGAGGACTTGAAAATCATTGAAGGACCTTTGGAGAGGGAAGAAGAGAGCCAAGGAAGGGACCAGAAAGGAGAGAACTGAGGAGGGAACCCAGGAAGGATGAATAAAACAGATGGAACCCTGCTGCACATCCACTGGAGGTGTCTTTGTTGCTGGCTCCCAGAAAGAATTGAACTATCCCCTTTTCTATTCTCTGCTGCTCTGGGCTCCCATGAGCCAGACTGGTTTCTCCCTCAAAGCATCATCCACCTGCCTGGATGGGAATGGGTTTGTGCCTAACAAAGATGAAAATTGCTGAGAGGAGTGGGCTGGTGGCTGCACTACTCAAATTAGTCCATTTTCAAGTGGAAATCACACCTTTATTCGTGTCGAAACAACCTGTCTCCCTACTGAAGCAGTTCATTCCAAGCCACTTAGAAGCAAACAGCGCACCAAATGGTGGGAGATGACACACCTAATGGTGAGGCGGAGCAGCGGGCCTTCACTTTCTCTTTGGTTTGCTTGGTGAGGGACGAGTGAGGGTGGCAGCCACAGGAAGGGGTGAGAAAAGAGAAAAAGAGAGGCAGTCGGGGAAAGGAGGACTTGATACAAAGAGCAGGGGTGAGATCCAGTCTTTACTGTCCCCGAGCTTGCAGCAGAGGGGACCTTGCCCCAGATAGAATGCCACCAAGCCTCTGAGAGAAGAGGATTGGAAAACACAGAAGGTTTTGAGAACTGGGGTGTTTCTTCTCCCATAAGTGAAGGCTGTTTCTTCTGCATCTTTCTCCCTGGAGTGGCATACTTTGGAACTGGGAGTCCCTCTAAGACTCACAGATGGATTGGCCTTTGGACTTGAGAGTAATTAATAATGTGCACATCTCTAGATATTCTTTGCCTCTGCTATTTTGCCTGTGCATTGCAGAGGAAGGGATATCTATGTGTGTGTTTCAGTATTTCAACCTCTCTCTTACACATACAAACACACACTTGTGCACTTACACACACACACACCACACTTTCTTAATGACCAAGTTGCATTTTTCCTTTCCCTTCCTCAGCTTCCCTGATCCCTGCCCTAAATAAGAAAGGTCACCCTTCTTCCCTTTGGGGGACACAGGAAGTAGGCAGTGAGCGGGTAGTTTTCCCTGGTTGGGAGAGGATCCTGATGTGATCTGCCTGAATGACCAGGGATGCCCTGAACCCTGACCACTTTGTGGGGTGGACACCCAAAGAGCTGCAGATGGAGATGCAGTGTGTTGTCCTCAGCCCAGCAGCAGGCCAGCTGCCCCACAGACCAGTCCAGCAGAAAATAAAGCCCCATTCTACTCTTCCTGTTGCTGCCACATCACTTTGTTATGAGGGTTAGTGACTGTCCATTAACTCCCGAGAGCTGATTCTTGCCAGTGCTGCACCAAGAGCTGGGAGCCAGAAAGTGCTGACATGGGGAAGGGGGGCTGGTCCCCCACCCTGGCTGGGCACTCACAGAGTAAGTCAGGGAGGTCACTGGCATGGCTTACTCAGCTCTGCCCGAGTGCCAATTAGCTAAGGTTTTTCTGAGCATTGGCTCGGCCTGCCACAGTTGAGGGAATTATTGCCAGAGGAACTTGTTTTGTTTTTTATAAAAAGAGAAACCTCTCTATAGGGATGGATCTTTCCTGACTGTCCTTCCAGTCTCCCTGAGGGAGATCCCTGCCAGCCAAGGTCCCTGGGAAGAGATGACCAAAGTTGGGTTCCTGGCTGGTGACTACTCACAAGGGTTATTGGTGGTAGAGATGGTTCTTTGCTTTTTGGCTTGAAGGCAGGGATCCTATGAGCTCAGCCGCTCTCTATATATGTGTGACTTTTCCAGGGAAATAAGGAAGAGAAGGCTCATATGAAAACACTAGAGACATAAATGGCTTTACCTGGTTCCTATTGTTCCTTTCCACTCCATTCATAAAATCCAACTCATCAATGAAAGGCCATTAACTTACTCTTCAATCCAGGTTAATGAAGGTGGCATCCTGTATCCCCAGAGAACTGGGTTCAGGACAGTCTCAGAGAGCCCCACAGAACACCAGAGCTTGGAATCTAAAAACTCATCGGGTCCAACTCTTTTCTTTTACAGATAGGAAAACTGAAGCCCACAAAAGGGAAGGGGCCTGCCTGAAACAGCCAGTGACAGATCTGGGACCAGAACACTGGCTCCTGATTCCCAGGCAAGTGCCTTTATTTTGATACATTTTCACATTTCATTCCCTTATTTTACACCCAATTACTGAGTCCTTACTATCTTCCAGGTGCTACAGGGGGGGAAGGGCGTGGAGGAAAGCAAAGTGATGAAAACAACACAATCCTTGCCTTCAAGGAGCTATTTCCCTAGATCTGTGATTCTTGAGGGAAAAAAGGAAAAAACTGAGTCAGACTCTCACCCTGTATTATCTCTATAGGTGATGATGGAGGAGGAGAAGTGGGGAGAGGAAGCACTTCTATCTGCTCAAGATTTAGAATTTAAACTTCACTGATTCTAAGATGGGAACAGAGATGGAGCTCACATTTGTATGGAGACATACATTTGGCAGGTCTGTACCTCTGATCAGGTGTATTGCTTGGTTGAGTCCCAAGGCAGTTCCCTGAGGTGAGAAGAACCTCAGAGCTTGCATCCCCATGGTAGGAGTGAGGAGACTGAGTTTAGAGAGATTGGGTAATGGGTCAAAGCCAGTACATGTCAGTGCCCAGCCAGGGACTCCTAGTTCAGGGCTCTTTCTATCACTGGGGGAGGGGAAGTTGTGCTGGGTTGGAGGGTAGGGATGAAGCAGCATAAAGTAACGGTTGTCCACAGAGATAAGCCAAGTCTTCCTCTACGCAGTTTTATTTTGATCGCTACATTCTGCCACTCACAGAACTCTGCTCTGAAGAACTGGAAGCACTTTGCAGCCCTGAATGAGCTCATTCAACATACTCTTGCCAGAAAGAGAGAGAACTCCAAATGGAGGTTTGGTCTAGGGTCATCAGCATTCAGGCACAGAAGAGAAGACAGGACCTAGGTTCCCCCTTCATTGTCCTCATGCACCAAGGACACATGATGCAAAACTAGCCTCCTTCCATGAGAGTCAAGAGGGCCACAGGAAAAAACAGGTTCTTCTGACACCTCCCTTCTTTCCCTGGAGAAATGGGTTAATCAGTCCTGAGAGGATGGGTCCTTTCGTTGGCCCAAAGGCCATTTCGAGGGCAAAGACATCTCAGAGCAGGGGATGCTCACAGCCACTCCAGTCATCCTGGTGACCAGGCTTGGGGAGAGGAGAATTAGTGAAGCCCTCTCAGATTCTGCTAATGTCGCAGAACCTTGGTGGAGACTGGGGTACCAGGGAGTCTGGGAGATTCTCCTCCGTGTTCCTGCAACCAGTGAGCTGGCTGTCCCAGAGCTGCCTGAGGTTGGGGTCAAGGCCTGGTGGTGTGAGGTCAGGGTGCCCAGGTGACTGTCATGGTTCTGGTCCCCCAGGGCCCTCCTAGTGCCCCAGACTGCGTGGTGAGGGGTGAAGAGCGCAAGGTTCGGCCAGCTGGGAGTCAGAGCCATCCCTGAAGGGGCTCCCGCTCCCCTCCCAGGTGGCTCCTCGCTTTGGCTCCCGCTGTGCCCCCCAGACGGCCCCTTACCTGTCCCGCTGCGGACGGTCCCGCCTCCTCCGCCGGGCTCGGGGACCAGTCATGGGGCGGCGAGAGACGGCGCCCCCGCCTCGCGGCCCTGGTGGGGCTCCCCGGAGGGCTCCCCTGCTCCGGGCCCCGCGCCCCCGCCGCTGCCGCCGCTTCAGCACCGAGGACAGCGCCCGCCCGCCCGCCGCCCGCCCCGCCCGGCGCGGTCCCGGGAGCCCCGCATCCTGGCCGGGCCCCGCTGCCGCCGCGCAGCCCTTAGCCCGGCCCGAGGCGGCTCCGCGCCGACTTAGGGGAGCAGCGAGGAGGGTCGCCCTTCCCTCTCCGCCCTCCCGCCGCCACTGCCTCCGTGCTCCGCGCTCCCTTCCACGCTCCGGAACCAGCCCCCAGGCACTCTGGACGCGGCTCCCGGGAGGGCGGGGCGGGGCGGGGCGGGAAGTCGCGGAGCCCAGAGCTGGGGCGCGCAGCTGGAGCCGGCTTCTCTCTGGCTGGAGCAGAGCCTCTCTCTCAGCCCCTCTCTCCTGCCAGCCTCCCGCGCATCCCCCATGCAATGGGCGGCCCTTAGGCTTCGGGAAGCATGTTGGAGCTCCTAGGCTCCTAAACCCCGAGTTTCAATATTGATCTGCCCCAGAAAAAGAGAAACAAACAGGAAGTATTTATTGAGTGCCTACTATATACCAGACACCGTGCCAGGTTATCTTTTAAACCAACATAATCTCATTTAATTTTCTTAACAACTCTATTAGGCACCCCCCCCCCCCCTTTTACAAGATAAGGACTCTGGGCTCACAGAGATTAAATTTCTGATTTGGTGATAACAGTACTGTGCTGAAAAGTGCACAGGCTTCAAATGCCATGGGCCCAAATTTTGAGGGCAGTGTTCCATTTACTTACTTAAGCAAGTTAGCTAACCTTTAAAAGTCTTGGGATTCTCATGGGCAAAATGGGGGAGCTGTATCCATCTATGAGGGATCATATGAGGATGTATTGTACGAGAGACGTTAGCACCCAACAGGCCCAGAGTGGGTGAGTCATTGACTCAGTTCTCACAGTGGGAAACTCGAAATCTGACCACAGGTCTTCTGGCTGCTTTGTCTCCCACACTGTGCTCCTCTTTCTCTCCCCCTCCCTCTCCCCCATTTTCCTTTTTTTATGGGGAAGGGGTGTTATGAATGTATGAAGCTACTCTCTCCACCCCGACAAGGTCTGGAGTCTCATCGCTGGATCTGGAGGTCGGAGGGAGAGCAGAGTCCTCATCTTCTGAAAGTAAGGAGGAGCCTTACTTAGGGCTGGGGCTGGGGCTGGAAGGCAGTGGGGACCAGGTTCTGGCAGTGGGATCCTTTCCTCTCCCCATAACTCCCATCCAAAGGCACCAGAGCACACCGAGTGGTGGGCTCCATAGGATGTGGGCCACCAGAGCAGTTCCTTCAGGTCCCAGCATGCAGAGAAGGAGCCCAGACAACCCCCCACCCCACCCCATCAACAAGGAGCTTGGGTCTCCTCCCTTTCAAAGTGGGCAGAGAATCCTTCTGCCTGTGTCTGTCTCAAGGCTGGTCTCAGAGCTTAACCTGTTAGATGTTAAATACATGCTTACTCTTCCTGCCCTTGCCCCACTAGAGTATCAGCCCCTTGAGGCCAGAAAGGCTCTTGGTCCCAATACCATGTCTACACAGATCTTTACTTTCCTTGTGTCCATGCACCCTTCTGCATCCTTGCTTCCTTCTGGCCTTCCCCCCACAAGTGCTTATGGCCCCTGCTTGTCCTCAGCCTCCCTCTATTTCTCACCTCCCTACTCTGGCTTTGTTCCATGCCCAGTCTGCTTACTGAATTACTAATTGAAAGAATAATAAAAAAGCCAGTGAAGCAAAAGCCGCATATATATTCCAAATAGTAATGTTGATGATTATACGCTGCTGCCCAGAGGGGAAGCTCAAAGTGCAAAAGCCCTGGCCTGGGTGCCAGGAAAGCTGGGTGCTAATCTTGCCTTTGTCTCTAACTGGCTGTGCAACCGAAGCAGTCACTGGAAGCATTGCTTCCTTAGAATTCAAAGCCCCTTCAATTGCTTTAAGGAAATTGTAGGAACAATGAGCAGTGTATGAAATTTGTTACAGAGAACAGTGGACTAATTCAGTGATGGAAATTTCTTTAAAGGAAATTACCTTTTATTCCTCACTAGATATATGTGGTGGCTCAGGGACTGAGGAATCTATAATTATGCAAGTTTCCATTCCATTTTCTATTCCCTCTATCCTCTCTTTTCTTTCTTCATTGAGCATTGTCTGCCATGTAAGGAAGATCAGCTTCTGTACTAGACCCTGAGAATGCAAAGTATAAGTCCTGGTCCAAGTCTTTGAAGGAGCTAGAGTGAAGGATTTTGGGTAGACACATTGATTTGTGATTCTGACACCTGAGATAAATGTTATCATGGAGTAATTGAACAATGCTCTGCCCTGGAAAATCCCAGGGAGGCTTCCTGGAGGAAGTGGCATTTGGGCTGAGTTTTATTAAAGGATGAGACATCTTTGAGGCAGGACAGGAGAAGAGGGAGCTCTGACTAGGATGGCTGGACTGACAGGAGGAGGCTGAAGAATAGGAGAGGAAGCTGCACTGGAGTCCAGGAAGAAGGTGGTAAGAATGTGAACAAGGCCAAGCCATCAGGATGGGGAGCAGAGGATGGCATTGAGACACTTCTAGGTGAGAACAGAGAGGAGAGATTAACTGTGGGGGAAGAACACAGGGTCCAGCAGTAATGCTGGGTTCTCTTGCTTCTGGGAAATTGATCCTTCCTGCCACATGGTATCAGGAGGGGGGCAAACACTGCAAGCCATGGGGGCTGCTGTGGGGCACCACACCCCACAGAGTGTGCAGGTTTTTATACTTTCTTTTAAAATTGTATTCTTCCTGGGCCAGGGATTTAGCTCAGTGGTGCCGCAGCCTGCCTGGCAAGCGCAAGGTCCTGAGTTCAATCCCCATACCAATAAATAAATAAATAAATAAATGTATTTCCCTTTTAGTGAGGGTGATATAGAGTTGCTGGAGCTCTTTAAAGCCCCTCCCATTGTATTTTGATTGTCTTCGAGGTAAGGGAAAGGTCCAGACCTGGGGCAGGAGAGCTCAGGGATGCAGCCCCTGAAGCCCACCTACAGGAGGCAGCAGGTTTCTTTTTTTTTTTTTTTTGGTACCGGGGATTGAACTCGGGACCTTGCACTTACAAGGCAGGTGCTGGAACCACTGAGCTAAATCCCTGGCCCAGCAGCAGGTTTTTTGCTGGGAGCAGAGCAAAGTCTGTAGAGAAGAGACAGAGTAGGCACTGGGTGTCATCTGGAAGGGGATGCCTCTGTCGTGTTCTCCCCCCAGCTCTCCTGCAGTACCAAGCAAAGTGCAGCACTGGTGGGGTCTGCTTTGGTTGGAGTCAGCTTTGGCTGCTAATCTCTTTCCACCTGGGGACTGCCTTTCATAAGCTTCTTCATGCATAAACTCTTAGTTCTTTTTACAAGGGGTTGATTTCTTCACAGTGTTCTCTGGGGAATGTAAATCAGCACCAAATGCAGGGAGATCTGCTTCTGTTGCTGCTTCAATAGGCCACACATTGAAAGAGATGCTCCCCTTAAGGAAGAAGGTGAGCTCTGCCCCAGCCCAGGGAGCCCAGAGCCTCTCAGTCAAGCTCATGATCAGGGCTATTCGGCTGTGACCTACAATGTCCTGGGTAATAGGAGAGGCAGGCTGGCAGAGGACAGGGACAGGTGGGCCTTTGAGCTGCCTACTAACCAAATCCTCTGCATGGCTCCAGAATGTCATGGTTCCAGGGAGGAGTGCATTTGTGGATGTACGCAAGTGGAGGGAACCAATTCTTGCCTCTGGACCCAAAAGAGAAACCTGAAAATCCTCACTGCTTCTGAGTCAGGACCTTTGGTTAGAGGTAGACCTTCCAACCCCAACATGCAATAGTACTCTTAGTCTGTCTCTTAAATTTTTCCTGGGCTGGGGAGTGGTCCTTTGGAAGTGCATTACCAGCTGCTCACTTTCTCTCTCCATGGGAGAATGCAAAGCTGAAGATGAGCTTTAGAAACACACTGATTCATTCCAGGGAAAGAAGAGAAGTCTCAGCATTGGTTCTGCCCAACTTCCTGCTCTCCTGCTGGGCATATGCTCACTCAAGCCTAGGGAAAGGAGTGGGTGAGTTATTGCAACTCAGAGAGGCAGGGCCAGAGCATAAGGCAATAAACAGAGCAACCCCAGACTGTGCATCTCAGAACCCCAGCACCAACTCTGTTTTCCACAGACTGCCTTGGGGACATAGGAGCATTTGTTCACTGCAGGGAAACCTGCATGGTTGGCACTCTCACACTTGGGCAGAGCAGAGATGTGTGAGTGTGCCTTGTGAGGGTGTAGGGTGCTGGGTGAGGAGCGTCAGCAGTGGCAAGCAGACAGAAGGGTTCTTTTCACCTGGTGCAGTGACAGAATAACAATGGGAGAAAGAATAAGAATGCTTTTTATTTGCCTCACACTCTACAATTTTGGGAGCATCTGCTCATTTGATTTTCATAGACATGCATCATCTCCAGTTTACAAACGAGTCCTAGAGAAGTTACTTCTAACTTGGAAAAAAATAGATTAATGCCAAGCCAAAGGAAAAGAATGAAATGGATGCATGAGCCCACCTGCTTCCTGCCCTTGAAGTCAGTACCATCGAGGTCTGCAAAAGGAAGCCTTCTTTGCCTTCACCCTGATCTGGGACATTGAAGGGAGGGGCCCGAACTTCAAGGCACTCACTGGAGCCCTCTGAAGGACTAATGCTCAGAAGCTAGGACCACTCCAGTGTGTGTGTGTGTGTGTGCACGTGTGTGCAGCCTTTGCTCCAGGGATGACTATCTGAGCTAGGAAAAACTTTCTTCCCCTATGTGTAGGAAGATACTTTCCTTATGCCTCCCTTGTATGTGTCTGTGTCTGAAGTGCAGGAGAGAAATGGTCCTTCTCTCCTGACCACTTGCTGCTTTGGGGAGACAGGCAGCTGGAAGACAAAAGGGTAATTGGCACTAAAAAAAAAAACATTCCTAGAGAAGCTGGATATTTCTTCTCTTCCTCTCTTTCTCCTTTGAGAAACTTCTTATTCTCTTCAGCCCAGGAACAAGAAGAAGACA